CTGCTGTCTCTATCTCCACACTCTGCCATGTGCCACTTTCAGGTCTCCTCACACTGCTGGTGGTTTCCATTTTTGTCATAGGGTGCTGTATGGCCTCCCATTGCTGCTGCCTCCACCGCCACACTGTGGCTCCACACTCTGGTTTTGGCCCCGTGACTGCCCAAATGAGTGAAGTGTGCGGTGATTCTAAGATCGACGGCACTCATCTGCATGTCATACTGCCTGACAGTATTATTTCTCTTCCCCAGCAGACTCCAAGGGCATTTAAATTAAAGGTACAGTGTTCAGCACTAATATTAAGTCTCTCTGAAGCCTAGAAACACCCTTTTTTAAGTTAAATTCACAGCGAATATATTCGACTCGAATCGAAATTTTTCTACGAATTCGCCGAATCAGTCGAATCGAATTTTTGAATACTTCGCTCATCTCTAGTTATCATCAAAAGAAAATGATTGGTCAGTAGATAGAGGCGACAATTTTAAAAGAGAACGTGCAGTTTGCAAGCTACATAAGGCAGCAGGGTGGATACATTTTGAGCATTTTGGTTTTCCTATAGAAACATACTAGTGCATTAATTAGACTAACCGGATTGCATACATATAGATCTTAATGTGAGTACATGCCAGAGGTAAGAACACTAGAATGCACACCATTTCTGTGATTGACATTAATATCAATGGATCTGTGTACCCTGTAAAGTTCCACTAAATATGTTAAGACTATAAAATAGTAAACTAAAGTTAAATAAATGGAAACTACAAATATGTGTGCAGTGTGTAGTTTTTATTCAAAAAGCAATGTTACATTCCCTGTATCTCTTCATTAAAAACTTCCATACAACCCCATACCAATTTTATTAGAAAGATTCCTGAGCACAGGCATCCCCTTCTTGTAAGAAGAACACACACAACATTGGTAGTCACAAAAAATGGAAAAAAAATATTGTGTTTTTACTTGGAAAAAAGGAAACTTTTACCGAAAGCAACCAATTAAATACGATTCTTCAAATTTGAAGCATAGGGTTTCAAACAAAAGCCCCATTGCTCCTTTGCTCCATAAATCAGAAAATAATGTTTTTTTTCTTATGTATCAATAGCTCTCAGTACTTGTGCTTCTGGAGTGGCAGTCCAGGCGTGTCAGAATAATTCACGTTGGGTTACCTCACTACGTTTTTAATATGGCACCTTGGTCCCAGCATCGTTGCATGCTTTCTTTCAAACCTGCCTCCTGGGCTGGGCCTTTTAGCTGCAACCAGAGGAATTTTTACATAAGCAGAAAGGCCAGCTGTTGTCTTGCACTTTGACACCCAAAGAACTTATTCTTTTTTTATTCTTACACTTTTTGCAAAGCACTATGCACTTTAATTCACTTCCAATTAGTAGGGTGTAGGTACATGTCTTGAGTGGGAGGGTATGTGGTCTTATGGTTGGGTTCTCCCATCCCCACGGGCTCTTTCTTTAGGGAAGCCCCACCGAGTACTTGGATGACCTTGCCTTGGTGGGTCCCCTGAAGAATGGAGTCTGCCTGGTTTTGGCTGGGTGGAGTACGAGTACCCTATTCCCCTTCAGGAATTCTGTACCATCAGGATCAGTGCTAGAACCTTTTCTTTTTATAGGAGGACCATGTATACACCCTGTGCACTTTTTTGTGGTTCACTTTTTGCATGCCATCTTTTTTTATTGCACTTTGTGTTCTCCTTCCAGTGTGCGCACCACATACACAGCATGTGTTCTAATTCTTCCACACTCTATACAAATCTAAAGAAAACTGATTTGGCTGGATCTACACATCAATCTTCTATGACTACCTATGTTGTTTTTTTTAGCTTTGTCAAATTTTAGAAGCAGATGTGAGTCTTTGCCCAATGCAACAATAATCAGCACTTAATGTAGTAAACAACGAAACAGGAATGGATCTCTGTTATACTTACATGTCTAAAGAGAAGACTTCTTTAAGTTGAAATGACACCCTTAACAATTCACAGTGTTTTATGAAGTATATGAAGTGAGCTACCAAACATTTTGGGTAAAATCCTGATATTTCATACATAAAAAGGTGGCAGTAAACATATTTCATGAATTATGGGACAGTGTTAGTTGATATTATTTAAGTGATTACTGGGATTCTTAGGGAACCAAGCACAGACAAATGCTAGTAACATCATTTAGCATTATTTATTATTGCAATAGTTACTACAGTTGAAACACTTCAAACTAACCCAAATGGATTGGTTTCCAATGGGTTACAAAAGCCATAACACAGTCATCATAAGCTACTTTTTCCTTACTTATCCTTTCATCACCATACCTCTTTTGGGACCTTGGAGGAAGGAAAAGAACAAAAAATACAGAGAAGGTGAAAAACAGCATACAAATTACAGCAGAAAAATATTAAAGTTGGTCAAAAAATGGTGTTCATGCAAAGACTTACAGTATACTCAACCCTATATTTGTTGAAATGCTCTCTAAAGTACTAAAAGTTGTACTGACCACACATGGCTGTGAAAGCACTGTATTAGGTCAAAAAGAGCCGCACTGGTTACTTTTACTAATCAACTAGGACCGTTAATATGCAGATGTATGAATGTAACCTACAAAGCATACTGACACAAAATATTCACGATTAATTGTGTATAAGAGTATGCTGTTTAAGAAATCTAACTGATTTTCATTTTGGAGTCAAAGCACATTATTTTTATTTAATGTGCAAGTTCCCTTTTTTCACAAAAAAAAGGGGAACTGACACCTTATACACTCAGCACCCCCCTCCCCTGTTTCCCCCTGGTACCCGCTGTACTTACCTCCATGGTTGATGAGCTACCACTGCCCATGCAGCCAGTGTAGTGGTCCAGGGATTTGAAATCCCCTGTAGGGCTTCTGGGATGGATCAGATAAATTCCTCCTTGACAGATCGGTATCACCCTGATCCATCCTGGAAACCCTACAGAGAGAATGGGAAGAAGAGCAGGGATTTCAGAATCTTCGCTCACTACACTGGCTGAGTTGGTAGTTCATCACCCAGGAAGGTAGGTGCAGCGGGGACTGGGAGGGTATACAGTGTTAGTTCACCTTTTCATTTTTTGTGAAAAAGGTGACCTCACATGTTAACATATATCTAAATGCAAGGACAAAAATGCAAAATTTTTTAGACTAAATGTGGTGGCTGCATTAGTTTCCTTTTTTTTTACTCTAAGTACACTTTTTGCAAGTACAGAGTTCCGACATGCTGGAATGTAAATATGAAGGGCTGAGCAAATGGCCAAAGCCACATCCCAAAATTATTGAAACCAACGGCTATAAAAAATATTGCGTGTAATATAATATTTTTACCTATTTACTGTGAGAAAGATGTAAATGACAACAACTCCTCAGATATTCTTAACATGAGTGTCCCAGCACTACCCAAGAAGAGAATAACCTATGTACAATGTAGATGTAGACATGTACCAATATCAGAAGAGTTGGCTCTAAAAGAAAGAGCAATACAGTGCCTTGAAAAAGTATTCATACCCTTTGAAATTTTCCACATTTTGCCATGTTACAACCAAAAACGTAAATGTATTTTGTTGGGATTTTATGGGATACACTAACACAATATGGAATATAATTGTGAAGTGGAAGGAAAATGATAAATGGTTTTCAATAATTTTTACAAATAAATATGTGAAAAGTGTAGTGTGCATTTGTATTCAGCCCCTTTACTCTGATACCTCTAACTAAAATCTAGCTGAACCAATTGTCTTCAGAAGTCACCTAATTAGTAAACAGATCCACCTGTGTACAATTTAATCTCAGTATAAATACAGTTGTTCTGTGAAGCCCTTAGAGGTTTGTTGGAGAACATTAGTGAACAAACAGCACCATCAAGGCCGAGGAACACACAGGCAGGTCAAAGATAAAATTGTGGAGACGTTTAAAGCAGGGTTAGGTTATAAAAAAAATATCCCAAATATGGCACAACTGCAAACCTACCAAGACATGGCAGTCCACCTAAACCGACAGGCTGGGTACGGAGAGCATTAATTGGAGAAACAGCCAAGAGGTCCATGGTAACTCTGGAGGAGCTGCAGAGATTCACAGCTCAGGTGGAAGAATCTGTCCACAGGACAACTATTAGTCATGCACTCCACAAATCTGGCCTTTATGGAAGAGTGGCAAGAAGAAAGCCATTGTTGAAAGAAAGTCATAAGAAGTCCCGTTTGCACTTTGTGAGAAGCCATGTGGGGGACACAGCAAACGTGGAAGAAGATGCTCTGGTCAGATGAGACCAAAATTTACAATTTTGGCCTAAAAGCAAAACGCTATGTGTGGCAAAAAACTAACACTGCACATCACCCTGAACACACCATCCCCACCGTGAAACATGGTGGTGGCAGCATCATGTTGTGGGGATGCTTTTCTTCAGCAGGGACAGGGAAGCTGGTCAGAGTTGATGGGAAGATGGATGGAGCCATATACAGGGCAATCTTAGAAGAAAACCTGTTAGAGTCTGCAAAAGACTTGAGACTGGGGCGGAGGTTCAACTTCCAGTAGGACAATGACCCTAAACATACAGCCAGATCTACAATGGAATGGTTTACATCAAAGCATATTCATGCGTTAGAATGGTCCAGTCAAAATCCAGAGCTAAATGCAATTAAGAATCAGTGGCAAGACTTGAAAATTGCTGTTCACAGATGCTTTCCATCCAACCTGACACAGCTGGAGCTATTTTGTAGAGAAGAATAGGCAAAAATGTCCCTCTCTAGATGTGCAAAGCTGGTAGAGTCATACCCAAAAAGACTTGCAGCTGGAATTGCAGTGAAAGATGGTTCTACAAAGTATTGACTCAGGGGGGCTGAATACAAATGCCGCCACACTTTTTAGATATTTCTTTGTAAAAAATGTTGAAAACCATTTATTATTTCTCTTCTACTTCACAATTATGTGCCACTTTGTGTTGGTCTATCACATAAAATCCCAATAAAATAAATTTACGTTTTTGGTTGTAACATGACAAAATGTGGAAAATTTCAAGAGGTGTGAATACTTTTTCAAGGCACTATATATAGTTATGAAAGTATTTTTTCAGTGGGACTATGGGGGAACTCAGTTCCAGCACCTCCAGCACTGAAAGTATGTAGTAGCAAGAGTTGCTGGAGTGTGCTGGAGTGTCTATTGATGCTGGGTGCTTGGGAATCTATTGTTGCTGGAAGGGGATCTGTTGTTGCTAGGGGGTCTTATGTTTCTGGGGGGGTTGTTTGTTGCTCAGAGAGATCTATTATTGCTGGCTGCTGGGAGATCTGTTGTCGTTGCTGAGGGTCTATTATTGCTGGAGTGGATCTATTAATGCTGGGGGGTCTATTGTTGTAGTTCCTGGCTGCAGAGAATCTATTTTACTGCTTTTCTTGTTATCATTAATAATTTCCCACAAAGGACTTAGGACCGCAAAATTATACTTGGTTCTGGATTATATAAAAGGGAGATACTGTGTGGTGGGTAGAGTGTGGAACCAAGGAGTGGTGCTCAGAGATGGGTAGGGGGCGGAGACCAGGTTGACTCAGAAGAAGGGCGTTTCGGCACGTATTCTCTGACAAAAAAGCCCTGAAAGTGGCTATATGGATACATTGCATAGTGCACAGCCTTTAAATCAATAATTCAAGAGTTAACATACCAAATAGAAGGGGGAGAGCAATACATCCCACAAGGATGACAGTTTGCTGATTTCTGTGAAATATACTGAGGTATTGACTCTGTCCCACTGTGAAATACAGATGATTACCAGAATATTTGATGAACCCATGTCTGGGAACTTGAGATTTTTGTAAGCTTGATTAAACAGTAGAAAATGTAGGACACATATATTGGGATGTGTTGGTGGTACAAGAATGTATCTTCACATGTGCTGTTACACAATTTTTCTAGTGTTCTCACTGAGGTTTATATTTTTATGGTTTGTCTGTTTTCGTAGTACTTCAAAAGTCCGGGTGTATTTACATGTTTATTTAGGGCTCTATCCAAAGCACCTGCACATGACTGGGTCTTCAACGTGAAGGAATTTGCTTTTTGTGTGATTGGATAACTAAGGTGAATATTCCCACAATTTTTAAAGAAGTCTCTCAATGATTTCAGTAACTCAGCCTCAGTGTTATCAACATTCCCAGTTATCATTTTTGAACTACTAGACCCCCCCCCCATGTAATGGAGATAAACAAAGTGTGAGGTGTTTGTAGTCCAAATCAGGAGAACAGCATAGGGTGAGAACACTGCGCCTCTGTAGATAGAGTGCAGTGAGTAAGTGTTGTCACCCTAGGACAGAACGTGCGTTACTAACAGGATCAAGAAAAAAATCCTGAAGAAGGAAACTCATGCAGCCACCATATCTAAGAACAGGTAAGCTACAATGTATTACATTTTTGTCATTGTGTTTAGATAAGAATTTAATAATTGGTACACACTTTAGCCACTTGCCCTCCAGAGAATTTACCCCCCTTCCCGACCAGGCCATTTTTTGCGATAAGGCGCTGCGTTACTTTTTCTGACAGTTGCGCGGTCATGCAACGCTGCGCCGAAATGAAATGTACGTCCTTTTTTCCCATAAATGGAGCTTTCTTTTGATGGTAATGACACTGGGCAAGAAGGGGTTAACATCTGGGCCGGTTCAAAGGGTTAACTGTGTGCTGTTTTACTGTTTTGTCTGTGTGTGTGTTACTATAGAAGCCCCTTGCTTTGTATTGCTCTGTCAGTTATCCTCGGCGATCACCAAGGTGCTGATGGGGAATCTCCGGCCGGGACCCGGTGATCGACAGCTGTAGCCGCCAATGGCGGCACGGGCAGGGTGGCGTGCGCACGCACACGCCCTACCCAGAAATACTAGATCATGTATATATATGTGATTTTGTGCAGCCCTTCCACCCTGTAGCAGTAGTTCTGCTATAGGGTGGTCGGAAAGGAGTTCAAGAGAATGTATAATCTTATATTTTTTTTTAGTAAACATGAAAAAAATCATCGTCATGTAATGAATCTTATCAGTCTGTGTTAATGTTTTAGAAACCCCATTCCTGTTTATTTTTTGTAATTATATATGCACATGGGGGCATTCGTATTTTCTTTTTACTGCTTCTTCTTGTAGTGCAAGTCTGAATCGTCTGATAGCTTATCTCAGCAGTAGTCAGCCAGGAAACCTAAGGCAAGCCAGGCATGGATCATGTGATGTGAGAAAATCGCTCAATTCCCCTATTACCATAGTCAGTGTTGATAGGGGAATTCCTCCCGCAGCACTATTGTGTTCTGCCGGCAAGGAGCCTTCCCTGGAAAGTTAACGGCTGAACAGTGACTGCATCTTATCAGATATAACCACTGTTCAGATATTCAGGCAGCCACAGGTGCCACGGCTACCTGAATAAAATAACCGGCAGTGGAGATTCCTCCATCCATGCTTTTTATCATGATTGGGGGAATAGATTTTTTTTCTTATTCAGAACAGGCGTTGAGGCAAGGCTAACTTTACAGGTATCCACACCACATACAAAAAAAATACATTTTTAATGTAGATATATGATCATATTAGAAGATGTTTGCGTTTGCATAGAGAAATCCTTTAACTGCTTATCCGCCCCCTATAGCAGATATACTGCTACAGGGTGGCAGGGGTGCGCAAAATTGTGTATATATACTTGATTTTGCAATTCCGAGTAGGGGGCGCATGCGAGCGCACCCTACCCACGCCGCCATTCGCGGCCGCAGCTGTCAGTCACCGTGCCCCGGTGGCCTGTAATTACCAAGGATCTCTGACAGGGAGGAGGGCTGCTTTGTTTACTAACCGTCCTCCTCCCTGTCGGCTCAGACACACTGCTCCTGGATGGCTGTGCACAGCACAGCCATCCAGAGCAGTGTGCTTACAGTGAAGCACCAACACACCGCCACCCAGTAAAACACTCCCAACACACAGTTAACCCTTTAATCATCCCTCATGTTAGCCCCTTCCTGCCCAGTGCTATTAGTACAGTGTCAGTGCTTTTTTTTTTAGCACTGATCACTGTATTGGTGATGTCAGTGACACCACGTCAGTCCCCCCAGTGTAAGAAAAAAAAATTCCAGTGTATATACCGCCATTTGAAAACGCTATAACTTTCACGGAAACCAATTAATTTACACATATTGGGATTTTTTTTAGCAAAGACATGTAGCAGAATACATTTTGGCCCAAATTTATGACGAAATGGGATTTTTTAAAAAATTTTTACTGGACATGTTTAATAGCAAAAAGTAAAAAATATAGTTTTTTTCTCTCAAAATTGTCAATCTTTTTTTATAGCGCACAAAATAAAAAATGCACATGCAATCAAATACCACTGAAAGAAAGCTCTATTTGTGGGAAAAAATTATGGAAATTTAATTTGAGTGCAGTGTTGCATGACCACGCAATGGTCAGTTAAAGTAACGCAGTGCCGTAACGCAAAAAAATGGCCTGGTCAGAAAAGGGGGTAAATCCTCAGGAGGGCAAGTGGTTAAGAACCCAATAAAGCAGTCACCCTTACTGGCACGTTGCCAGGAAATGGCACCACAGACATGATATAATCATCATCTGATACAGTAACACTTCCTAGTATATCTTTTTGCAAAAATGAGTGACTGTACAGCCTCAGTCATATACTAGGGTCTTGTCACGATATTTTTCTGGGGGGGAAATTAGTGGCTGTCAGGCCTTAGGCGGATACTAAAGTCTGGTGATCCCATCAAAAACAGGACATCTGATATTTTAGCAGTCTGCAAATGTATGGCCAGTTTAAAGTTGTCCATGTGTGGCCAGTTATAATCAGACCACTTAGTTACCTCATAAATAGCAAAGCCAATTGTGTACAGATTTGCTCCCATTTTTCGATCTTTTCTGCGGTTTTTCTGCATTAAGGCAACAAGGAAACTGCAAACAATTTCATTGTCATCAGGGTCATCATCTTCCTCCAAGAGCTTCAGACGGTACTGAGGATTAGTCCAGTAGGTGTCTGTGAACATTGAATTAAAAGAGTTAACAGATTAATGTCAAACTAATGATCCAAAAGGAGTAAAATTTATTTTAAATATTTTTTTCCTCTAGAACATGATTCCCAATGTTATCATCGCCATTCCCCCCATTCCTGTAAAAGTAATATTGATTTCCCATTGAATAGGTGTATGGTGCAGCTATGCCTGGAACCTACACAGGCCCCAACTAAGTTGTTCATAGTGCTGGAATAATGCTTAAATCCCAGTTCCAGCCAAAACGTTTTATTTCATTTGGAAAGAATGGAGAAGGGTTACAACTTCTATTACTTTTACTGCCATCTTTTACTTTGCCATCTCTGTTTATATGGGGAATATTTTCTATCGCTTCCTTTCAGAACAAGAAGTGCTTGGAAATTTCTCCAAAATGGACATATTTTTAGAAGAGTATAGAAGGGTTAAAACATTTGAAAATATTTTTTATTGCTGTCTGTGTCTTCCTTTCTCTGTGACAACTGTACCTTCCATGTCTTCCAAAATGAATTATTCAATTTGACAGTTTAGCTCTCTGTGGGTCATTTTGTAAGATTTATTCACCATTGTCTGGTGGTAATTGGTGTCTGATTCTAAGGGTCATGCACACAGTACTGAAATGTACATAGGATCTTGCTGGCAGAAAACTGGTTGAAAGATCTTGTGCAAAAAAATGGTCCACAGTGAAACACATTTACAAGAATATGTCCATAGAGTTTAGATGCTTAAAGTCATTTGTTCATAATGATTAAAGGTGGAAGTCATCCTGTTATCTACCAGCAAACCATGTGCCTTATTGTTAAATGTTGGTAATTTGTATATTTACTCTAATTGTTTTTATTTAATCTATGAATAAAAGCTATTCTATTACAAAACAAATAAATAAAAAAGTGGAAGTCATTTTGCTCCCACACTGCTGCCTAGTAAATTACTTATTCAGGGCCATGGGGAGATGTAAGCATACCAAAGGGTCCCTAAGTGACAGCAGGCAGTGATATTGGTGCAGAGCAATGTCCATTTACATATTATGCATGTAAAGTTTGCACACATGTTTGCATGCATAACCGTAAATCACCAGCGCCAAAGAAACATGTATACAAAATTGAAATTAAATGCTGCTGTACATAAGTGCAATACACACCAAAGAATATAAAAACATCACAAACAGCGCAAATTAATTAATATATACTAAATCAATAAAAATATATATATAAATAATATATAAATTATAAATAGTCCCACTCCAAATTTGTGAAAAAAATGATATAAATATATAAATCACAAGTGCCAGAATAAAAAAAAAAAAAAAAATATTTCCAAAAAAAGTCCTTGTTCCAAAAAAGTGTGCTTCCATCAAAGAAAAACAAAAACAAAACACCAGGCCACTCACATTGTTTAAAATTTCAGAGACATCTCTGAAAACGCCCTGTGGGAGGGGCGGAACGCATCGACGCACTTCCGGTTCTGCCGTTCTACGTCACTTCCGGTGAGTGGAACGCACGCCGTAGCGCTGCGTTCTAGATGGCCATCTTGTGTATGGGTGAATAGTCATACTGTCATCTGCTGCTGGCTGTGGGATTTCTAATCAACTATCCTGAATTTTATGGAGTTTATGAATGCCTGTGGAGGCAATAAAACATGCTGTTTTATATTTTAAAACAATGTGAGTGGCCTGGTGTTTTGTTAGTATTTTAAGCCGGGTGTTGCAGCATTACACTATGTGTTTTCATCTCTCCCACATTACCTTGAGTTTTTCTGGTGGTGTTAGAAGTTGGAGGAAAGTTCTCTTGTGGTGGAGTGGAGTCCTGGAGGCTTAAAATAAGGGTCTAGGATTCCTAAAAAAATACCTAAAAGGCGCTCATTTCAACAGAATCTGGTGAGTGCGGTATATTTTGGTTTAAAGCACTGATCTTTGGTGGAAGCAATGACTTTTTTTGCAAATATTTTTTATATTTTTTTTATTCTGGCACTTGTGATTTATATATGTATACATTTTTCACAATTTTTGGAGTGGGACTATTTCTAAGTTATATATTATATATATACATATATTTTTTTTTTCTTATTTGTATTGATTTAGTATATATGAATTAATTTGCACTGTTTGTGATGTTTTTAAGTTCCAAATCGGATGCAAAATATTCTACTATAGGTTTACACAGCTCAACACTACTGTGAAATACTGACTATAATGTAGCTGTCTGCATGAGGCCTATAGCCCAATACTGCTGTGTTCATATCCATATAAAATGGTATAAAGTGGGATATGAACGTATACGCCCATATGCAGTTGAGCTGGGTCATGCATGTGTTTCACATTTTCTTTGCATTCCTCTAAGGAATTCAATGCAAATTCTCCTTAGGAATGCATGGTGACTGTGGGCCTGGCTCAAAAATATCTGACAAGCAGCTCTGTGACTTCACTGGTAATATATCACTAGATCAGGGACAGGTGAGTATAAAACTGGCAGGGGTTGCTGGGGCAAGAAGACTTGCTGGGGCAAATATTTAGTATATTTGTAACTGCACCAATGTGAAGTTACACTGTAGAACAAAATGTGAACTAGGGCACAACAACATTTCATTATTATTAGGAGCTACAAAAAAATCCTCCTGCAATAAAGGTGACTGTATAGACACGCTCTAACTGGTGCAACAAAGGCCAATAAATAAGTGCTACTGAATAAGGGACAGAGCTGAGCCCCAAAGGCATAGGATTAGCACTGATTACCATTTTCTATGCTACCCTAGGTGTTACTAGAAATGTGAGACAGGTTAGGAAAATACCTTCTGATTAGTAGGCTTTTGAGAGGATGGATACTTGGACAATATAAAAAGTCAAGCGTCCTACACTACATATGTGCATAAACTCCATTCTCTTTGATTAAAAAATGATAAATGAATGCAAGTATAGCACTGAAAACTCAGTTTTACAAAGAGAGATCTTACCTGGAAAATTTCGACATCCACCAGCAGAGCAGCCTCGGACCCATCGTCCCTCATTGACTGACACCGTCCATGTTTGTAACCTGTCTGATTCCAGAGCATCTGCTGTTAGGTTACAAATCTCAAGCTTTGTGAAGTTCTTCATAAAATCATCAAATGACATCCTAGGAAGAACAGTATGATTAGTAACTAGGCAATGCTAAGGCATGATTCATTTTAATAGTTATAATTTGTATTGTTTGCTTCATACCCTGGGACCGATGTTTACTTCTTGCCCCCTATTGATTTTGCTTTGTAGGGGCAGTAGAAGCTGATATAGATGGTTTGCCCATTTTGAAGAGTAGGAAAACTATCAGTCTGTTTTGCTAGCAGTTCAGTTCTAAGTGTACATATCCAACGTGGATAAACTGTATGTACACAGTACTCTAAGCCGGCTCTTTTAACTAGGGGTGCTTTTGGGTTTCTTCAGTGATGCCTACAAATTGCCTAAAAATTGCATACTAGCCAGTGGGCGGATCAAGCCTGCCTTTTAGTTACAAAGCCACAATTTTTAACTGTGCACCATTACAACATGCTAGCTGCCAGTGTCCTAACAACTAATGATGTCATCAGTTGATAAGGACGTGGGGTGTCTACATGGCATTCTTGTTTGCCTGTCCCCTGCCCCTCTCTGTCAGCACTGGGGCACATAAGCTGGGTGAAGGAGAGAAACTGATGGAGTAGAGAAACATTGGAATACTATTTAGTACCAGTGTGCAACTGTGTGTTAGCTCTGGAAGAATAAATCTCCTCTAATGTTAGTTGTCCTATGTATGTGGATGTTGCTGAGCTAAGGTGACCTCGGCACTGATGGAGATGGGCAGGGGAGGGTCAAACTAGGATGTTGTGCAGGTGGCTGACATCCTCCTTATCAACTGATGATGTCATTGGTTGTCAGAATGCCAGCAGCTAGAAGGTCGTAATGATGCACAATGAAAACCTGTGGCTTTGTGTAACTAGAAGGCAGGCTTGTTCCACCTGCTGGCTTGTATACAAGTTTTGGGCAATTTTTAGACATTTTGCCAAGGCACCCCTGAAGAAACCTCAAGGTACCCTAGGGTGCATGGGCACCCTGGTTGAGAAAGGCTGTGCTATACAGTGTAGCTGTATTTATACGTAAATTGATGACTAATACTAATAAATCATTATACGCCGAACAGGCACCTAATTTGCTGATAAAAAAAGACTTTGCACTATGACACTGCTCCTCTGATAGATGACATTTCAATATGTGGGCAGAATTTTTTGGACTTTTTGCTATAAAACATGTCCAGTAAAAAAAAATTTAAAAATCAAATTTAGTCATAAATTTCTGCCAAAATGCATTCTGCGACATGTCTTTGCTAAAAAAAAAAAACAATACGTGTAAATTATTGGTTTACGTGAAAGTTATAGCGTTTACAAATGGCGGGAAAGATACTGGGATTTTTAGGTTTTTTTATACTAATAATGGCGGCGATCAGCGACTTCTGGCAGGACTGCGGCGGACATTCTGACATTGGGGGGTACTGACTTGGGGTCACTGACATCCCCAGTGACACCAATACAGTGATCAGTGCAAAAAAAAAAAAAAGACACTGTACTAATGGCACTGGGGAGGAAGGGGTTAACTTTATTTTTCAGGGAAGGGTTATCTGTGTGAGGGGGAGTGTTTTACTAGGGGGGCGGGGGGTGTGTGCTGGATGGGGACAGGCTGATCGGGAGAGAAAAACTCTTCTGTCCCGATCAGCTTGTCCTCGAGCTGTCAGGGAAGTGACAGAAAGCACAGCTACTGCAGCTGTGCTCTCTGTCACTGATTCCCGCCGATCGCCGGGAGATAGCTGGTAAGGACCGGCTGTGATCTGGCGACTGACATCTGCAGCTGTGATCGGCGGGACAGGTAGGGTCGGCGGCGCGCCTCGCACGCCCCCTACCGGTTTACAAAACACACGTTTTAAAACGTGGTTTTGCCTGCCTGTGCCGCCCTGCCAACGTATTTATACAGTGGCTGGGCGGCATTTGGTTTATATATATATCCTAACGCATGTGTCATGAATATACTAATGAATCTCAATATTCCACCGTAAAAATTATACACCCCCTGGTAAAAAATTATAAATAATAATATACGGTGTCCCTTATCTTAATATATAAAGCCTAACACGTGACATCCTCCAAAAAAAAAACAAAACGTAATGATCATATAAGAAAATCTGCTGATGAGTGAATGTGCTGATAAATCAATAATAAACAGTACTCTACATAATCAAAAATACGTCCCACAAATTAAGAAAAATATCCTTCAAATCAAAGTCATTCATAAAGTTCAACAAAAATCTTCAAGTTGAAAACCAGTTTCCAAAGTGACTTCCGAGAACAGACCTCAAAAAGAAAAAACTCACATATATTATTACTTTTGATAATATATATTCACTCAAAACACATGTGAATAGCACACAAACACAGGTGATCACTACTAAAAAAGTGAGCAACTGTGTAAAAACGTGTCCGTGAAAAATCTCGTGACAGAAAAGTGAAAATCCTGTGAAAAACGTGTCCACTTCTAAATGTGCAGATAAAATACCCTTACCAAAGCATCAAAAATCACAAGCCTGTAATCATCTAGGTAAGGTAATGGCATGTAATAAACTCCACCAAAGGAATCTTCACAGTTACAGATAGATACTCCTCTCTCCACACCAGTCTCCAAGCGATGCCCACCATATATATGGATAAATGATAGTGAAAATCCGTATAAAGCTTAAAGGTATAACTTTATTGATATGCTTACATATATATCTTCTTTAAAATTCCTCCTGTAACCTAGATCACAATCCCCAGGATTCAAAATGGCCGCTCGGTCACTTCCGGCTTTGCTCTGCGTCTTGATGTCACTTCCCTTTGACGCGTTTCGTCACTTGTCTTAATCATAAAGGGTAGAGACGTCTAGCAGGAAGGTCATACTTATACCCCTCTCCGACATGAGCGCCGAGATACACTATGTGAGTTTTTTTTTTTGAGGTTTGTTCTTGGAAGTCACTTTGGAAGCTGGCTTTCAACTTGAAGATTTTTGTTGAACTTTATGAATGACTTTGATTTGAAGGACATTTTTCTTACTTTGTGGGATGTATTTTTGATTATGTAGAGTACTGTTTATTATTGATTTATCAGCACATTTACTCATCAGCAGATTTTCTTATATGATCATTACGTTTTTTTTGGGGGGGGGGATTTTAGTGTCACATGCATTAGGCTTTATAAATTAAGATAAGGGACACCGTATATTATTATTTAACATTTGTATCTATAGTTACACTGTAGATAAAGTGTATCTAAACCCAAATATAACAGTTTGAATAATTTCAGTTTACCATTCCTTAGATGTGGTTACTGAATTTTATTTTTCAAGCATAATTTTCTTTTTTTCTTTTCACCTTTCTTGTCCCTTGGTGACTACTCTCACTCCTCCACTGTATCTATGTAAGGAGGCACAGACTGGACTTCAAACATTTCCATCTATTGCATGGGGCATGGGGCTATTAGTAATTTGCAGATGGAAGATAACATTGTTTTCAGCTCACAGGAAGCGGCAAGGAACCTACATTTCTGGCACGATCAATAAGTATTTTGTGTACTTACTAGAAATATTCTTAGCTGGAAAAAATACAACAAATGCAGCCATCACATCAAAGACTGGTAAGCTGCAGTATATTCATTTTATGTCTGTGGGTTTATTTATGCTATAATTCAATGACCTATGATCATACCTGTAAAAATGTCTTTTTTTTTAAATGCTTTCTTCTTTTTTTTTTTTAAATACTTAAAAAAAAAAGAAAAGAAAGAAATATACCTTGAGGGAAAAAAAAACAATGTTTGTCCTAAAATATGTATCAGATTGTTCCTATTCATTCTGTGTTGTAATTGTACTGTCCTCATTATATTGCAAAGTGCTGCGGAAACTGTTGGCATTATAAAAATCCTGTATATTATATTACTAATAATAATATACTTCTTGATAAACTATTAGGAACACTCAGCCATGGATATCTTTGCATCTGTAATTTTTTTTAAATGTTTTTGTATTTATGTAATAAAATGTATGGATTTTATAGCATTTATAATTGTTTGGTGTTTCTTGATAAAAGTCCCTTGGACATTATTTGTATGTTTTTTTACTGTAAAACAATCCCTTGGTAAAAACAAATTATCAAATATACAGATCAACAAAAAATTCAATGAGAACATTACTATCTTTAGAATATGGGCAGACTAAAATCAGCAAGTATATTTTAATATCTGTTACAAAGCTTTTCAATAAGAAGTCTGAAAATACATCCCTGTGTAAATGCTGATTATGCGCCCCTCCATTTCTGTTTCCAAAAATAGCAAATACAAAATTAGAAAATAGCAAAATTCCTTAATACTTTTTTAGGACATACATAATAGAAATTTATAATGTAAATATATATTTGTTGACACAGAGTAAAGAAATGTCATCAGGATATAGTACTACATTTTTACTATACCAGAATTCGCCATCTTCTTTTATCTGATGTTGTAGACGAGCGTTCTCAGATTTGTCAATTATATTCCATTCCTTTGAGCTACAAAAGACAGAGCATAATTACCAGCATGCCAATTAGATATAAAGAACAGATTTTTTTACAATGAGATGTAACAAGTTTGAGCTAGACCCATATACAGTATGTATGTATATAAAGCAATTGATATTATTCTTGCTTAAGCACTTCTCTGTCTCCCAATAAGGTGCCATCCAGACTGGACGAAGACCTGATTTCATGACATGATCAATGGCTATATGACCATATATGATTATCTGGCCTTGATCTATTAGAATAAATATCCATCTGTGATAAAAATATATCCAGATCCATAACATTTTATTTTAGTTTTGGACAGAGTAGGGAAGAATCAAAACCCATGTCAGGTTTTTTTGCCACCTGTGTCCCATTGAAGAAATGTCTCTTCACTTCCTGTCCCATAGACACAACAGGAAGGGAACCTCCCTCTAAAGCAGTTGTCTACTCAGCAAATGCCCCATTGGAAGTTTGCTATTCAACACCTGTTTCATTAACAACTGACAATTATGGGGTTTCCAGCACTTATAGTCCTTTTGATAACGGTCACTATGAGAAACAGAGAGAGCAAATCTTCCCAATGAGGACACAGATGGCAATTAAAAACAGATGGGTTTGTTCCAGACCTCAGAAGCTCATATCACTGATTCCCAAGCTGGGAAAAGACCTGATCAGTTGTGTAAGTTTCTTTATTCTGAGTGTTCCAATTATTTTCAGCTGCTACTTAGTAAACACTACGGTACGCATCAACATTTTAAAAGGGTTGTGATTTGAGTGGGTTTAATTTTTTCAAATGTTAGTGTTTGTGGTTCACCTTTCATACCATAACTAGCAGTACAGCATTTTTGTAATATGCATAGTGCTATCTACTAGTGGGTGATTTTAGGGACAATCAAATCTGTAGTCAGGGTCTAAAACACTAAAGGGACCCAAAACTGTACAAATATTAACTCAGTCCAGTTTCGTTCCTCTAAAGACGTGAACTGAGACTGAAATGATGGGCTTGAAGTCCATTCAGATGAAGCTGAATTGAAGAGTCTCATATTTTTTATTCAATTATTGAAGGAATACACTAAAACAAGGGTTAAGACTGTTTCTGTGGGTATCACAACTGTTATACAAGCTAATACTCTGCAGTGTTAGACTATGGACAGAGTGTTAAAGCAAGCCTGTAATAAACCTTTTAGATTTAGCCATATCAAATTAAAAAAGGGCATGAACAGAGGTTATCTTAAGTGAAAACTACATATCAAAACAATCCGTTAAAACTCCATTTTGTAAATTGAGCTTGGCTTCACCCATCCTAACTTCTAAATCTCCTTGTTGGTCAGTAAGGCCACTGATCACACTCATAGGAAGGCTCGGGATATGGGACATGTAGTGACAAGCTCAATTATTACAGAGAAAGTTTCGATTTTCACCTAATTTCAGAAGTATGTATCTCTCCTTCTACTTAACATTCGTACATGGAGGTATCCTATGAATATCATTCTTTTCATTATAAACTCAGTTTGAAAATGCCTCAATATTTGTACAAAGAATACAAATTAATACAATACGGTAAATAACTGCCTAAAATACCTGTCCTGCTTCAAATACCATGTACTTATGAGTATGGGATAGAAAAGCCAAGAATAAGAAAGGGGATCGCTGTGAAAATCTCAAATGGGAAGGATTCTGCTGAATGAATACACCCCTAGCAGCTGTGCCACACTCAATAACAACTGTTCAAATTAAAACTAGGTGGCAATAAATACAGTGCTCAAACAAATGAAATGACTATTAAAAAAAAAAATTAAATAAAAAAAAAAATATATAATATGTACAATCTCAAAAAGGCGGTAATTCATTATGACTAGTGCTTAGCAAAAAAAAACATTACTGTGAGAGTCCCATAATCCATCAATCCTAAATTAGCATCAAATCAAATTTTTAAAAATCGGATAAAAACCAAAAACAGTACACAAAATGTTTGTTTTATGTTTATCTGATTTTTATGGTATGTTTACCATTGATGGAGAACACAGGCCAACACACGTTTTGGTGCCACAAATGTTAGACTTGTTCCTGGGTATATTTGACCCACTGATTTAAAAAATGGCACCATTTTTCCCTACCAGCCCTATTTTTTGAAATACAGCATAAGTGCCGTATACCACCTCTTCACTGCCCATCAAAAATCTGGATACTTTATTGTAGTGTTTTATTTAGTCTATTTGTAGAATGAAAAAAACACATAACTATTTCATGTGTTTATTTCATTCACTGTAGCCATGGCCTCTACACTGTAGCCATGACCTCTACAGTGCTCGATCTGCAAAAATTAAATGATATGAGTGGAATTATACACACACCTCCTATATGATCATAACTATTATAAGTTAATAACTTATACTTTGGAATCCAATGTTTCCAGTGTAAAATTACAGTTGGAAGTGCATAAGCACTCTCACTATGGCTTGGTTCACACTGCCATGACTTGGGATCCAACTTGTGAGACCTCAAATCGCATGACATGTGAAATCCCATGTTAGTCAATGAGAGCTGTCTTAATTTGCACTACTGAAGTCACTCTGACTTTAGAAAAGGTTCCTGTACTACTTCAAGGCGACTTGTATCCGAGTTGTGCCCATAGACTTTAATGGAAGTTGCCTCCAAGTTGGATCCTCATCTATATAGATGTGATTTGGATCCTAAATTACAGCTACATTATCCAGGCATTTCCTGAAAGTTGCTTCAAAGTCGCATCAAAGTAGTACTCAAGTCGCCAGGAAGTCGAATGGCAAAGTCACCCTGTAAGCTGCGTGACTTTCAGGTTGCAGTAGTGTGAACTGAGGCTATATCTGCTAACTTGTATGCAAAAACATAAACTAGGTAACAGAAGTTGATCAGCAAGATATTTTCAAAAATTGACTAATAATTATATAAATTCAACCATATCTAGGAAAGTATAGCTGATGCAGTCTAGCAAATGCAATTTTCCCATTTTGATAAGCACTATTCAAAATGAAATGCCATGCTTTTTTGTGATTGCACATTACCTGATGTGTTTATATGTTTTTGTATTTCATTGTATATTTCATAATCATTTTTAATTTGTTTGAATGCGGTACTTATTGACAATTACCTCTGCATTGATTAGTTGTTACTGAGTGCAACACAAGTGTGTGTGTGTGTATATATATATTATACAGTATATTTAGTAGGGTCTTTTATTTGGTATGGATTACACGGACGGACCGTCTATCTGTTTTTCATACATCAACGGATGGATGAAAAAGGGACAGAAATGTATTTCTATGGACCAACAGATGATCATCTCTTTACCATCTATTTATTTCTTTGTTCATTCAAGTCCATATTATATGAACAAAGGTACTGTATGTCCAGATCCGTTGAAATGGAATGGATGTAAATGTTTATATCTATTTTTAGGCAAGATACATTTTTTATTTATGCTTTTGTTACCTTTGATTGGTCTCTGTAACAATTAAGAAAAAGTGGATGCAAAAACAGATGTAGACTGATGTAAGCTGAACTGAAAGATATACATTGATGTAAACTGAACAGAGCTCAACTGAAGTGCAAACTGATGTAAAACGGAATATGTTTTTTCTTTGAAAGAATGTGACTGATGCTCTAGTGAAAGGGGCCTAAATATACTGCCAGCTGCGCCATAGTGAAGAATATTACATATTAACTCCTTCACTCCGATGTCACACAAATTAGCGGCCTCACAGAACTGGGCTTTTTTCCGTGGGGCCACATATTTGTGTACCTGTCTTTGTGCTGGGAGCGCGCCACACAGCACACTCCCAGCATAACAACCAGGGTGTCACTGAAAGCCCCAGGTCCTGTTCTAAAGAGCAGGACCCGGGACTCTTGATTCCGGGTCACATGATTGCTGTGATAGCCTTTGATTGGCTTTCACAGTGATCAGTCACTGTACAGCCCACCGTCCTTTTTTTTTTTTCTCACTGAATGGAGGAGAGAGGTACATTGCATCTCTCTCTCCTTGCATAGAAAAAAAACTGTTAAAAAAAAGTAAAATAAATATAAAAAAATAAAGAAAAAATACCTAGATCAAGGTTTGATCTAGTTCAGTGCCAAGGATAGTGTTTGGGTCAAGGTCAAAGGTCAGGATTTTTTTTTTATTGGTGTCAGTGTGAGTTTGTTTCAGGTAAAAAAACAAAAAACTAAAAAACAAAATGCACACTATTGTTTCTGGGCTGTAAAGTGGGTACAAACAACAAATTACACACATATATGGTATTGCTGCGATCGTCAGGAGCTGGGAAATTTATTTTTGGTTGTTCTTTGGTTGTAGGTTATGGTAGTAACAAGAAACACATAGTTAAATTTAAAAAATGATATTTTGTTTTTACTATTTTGGGTCAGTTTTTCTTTGATAATACAAAAAAAATTAGGAGATATCAATTACTATTTACCACCAAATGTAAGCCCAATTTGTCCTGAAAAAAACAAGGTATAATCTACCTGGATGTACGAAGTAGTTGTGATGATATCTACGGTTTTACTAACACATGTCAAAGTTACAAAATTGTGCTTAGGCATGAAGGGGTTAAAACACAAACCTCATAATGATTCTTCTTTAGCTGCGGCATTTCACATTACATTTTTACTAGAGATGTGCATGCCGGAAATTTTTGTTTAGTTTCAGATTCATTCGTATTTAGTTTGGTTATATTCATTACGTTGAACCAATTCATTTTTGGAATTAGTTTGTTTCGTATCTTTGGCATCCATTTCATATATTTGTTGATCCAGGTGGAGTCAAAAACGGTATTGAAACTATTTGGATGGATTCAATATTTTCAAACGTAACGAAAAAAAGTGAACAACCATGACTTATCTGTCAGCATTAAAAAAAAAACACAGAGCGGGCCCCCCCAATCCCTATCAGGTCCTTTGGGTCTGGCATATATTTTTAGAGTACCCCCACGCCAAAATGAAAAGAAAATAGGTGTGGGTTCCCCTCCGAAATCCACACCAGACCTAAGGGTCTGATTAGTATTTGGGGGGGGACAGCATGCCCTTTTTTAAAAAATTTAGCATCGGCTTCCCCTCAAAATCCATGCAAGACCCAAAGGGCCTGGTAACGATTGGAGGGGACCCCAACACTGTTTTTTTTTTAAATTTTTATTTTAATGCTGGCACTTGTTTGGTTTACATTCTCCTATCAGTGAGGAGTCCCGCTGACAGCAGGTGAGTCATGATTGTTAAGGGCGCAGCGGCTGCCCGCTCCCAACCAGCTATTCACAATACATTTGGTCATTTGTTATGTTATGTTCCCATGGACCTGAACTTCTATCACATCATGTGACGTCATCTGAATGCAACAAATGCATTTGTTATAAATTCTTTTGGGTTCATTGCCATTCGTTTCTATGTCCAGTCAGAAATATGGACATATCTGAATCTCCAAAAATGAAATTTTCATCCAAAAAACAAATCAAAATAAAACAAACTGCTCATGTCTAAATATTACATTGCATCATTTTTCATTTCACCTTTAATCATAGAGATGACACTTTTTTCTGTGTTATCAACATTGGAGGAATGGAAATGTAAAGGTGCTCATGATAGTCATGTTTCATCTCTCATTTCTCCAAGGCCATTTTGGAAAATGACATAAAATGTCATCATTCTGTCCTTCATATTTGATAAATCACAATGACACCAACAAGGACATACATGTCAGGCTTACTTATCACTCCAGGATCCGTTCCATTCCACTTGTCCCCATGGATTTCTTAGACGGACAAGCTTTACCTTCTCTGCTTTAAATGTTGTCTATGATGTAGAAAATTTAAGATGCAGATATGTCATTAAACATTTCTACAGATATTGGAATGAGAACTATATTTTCTACATTGAATGCTTATAAATTAGTATAAGTGCATTATGGTTGGATGAGCTCATTTCTGTGAAGGTTTCACAGACTTACAGGTTTACTCAGGAAGGCAGAACAGTATGGCATCAATGCAAAGTGCAGTAACTCCTAGCAACCACAGATTGTTTGCTTTCATATGACTACAATAACTCCGATTAGGTTGCTTAGGCATATTGCAATTTAACTTTGCAGTGCCATGCTGAATAAGACCTCTGATATTGAAGTGAACTTTGCTGCCTCCTGCAAACCTATGGTTCAGATCTTCAGGGCATTGCAGAAGTGACAGAGCTCTTTTAAACACTTTTAAAGGGTCAGTCCACACAAAACAGCTATTTTAGTTTCCGATAAATTTTGACAGTAGGGACCTGTTAGGTCCGATATACTTAAAAGAGAAGTTCGAGAATATAAAAATAAACCATTCATACTCAGCTAAATGGATGCAGCATCAGTCCGATACAGGGGCGGACTGACAACTCATGGGGCCCCCAGGGAATAGGGGATCATGGGGCCCCTGTGTCCTTGCTCAAACTCAAAAAAGCCTATGAAAAAGGTACCAGGGGCATCTCATGGGGCCCCCTACTGTCCCCGGGCCCTCGGGCACTGCCCGAGTTTCCAAATGGTAGGTCCGCCCCTGGTCCGATACTGCATATGTCTCCTGTCACCTCTAAGACTGGGAACTGAGTGATCAAAAGACTACAGTTAATGGTTAAGTGAGCAGAGAGCTGGTAACTGTCAGTCACCAGCTCTCTGCTCTGCCCCTCCAACACTTACTGGACCACTGGGCTGTGGTGAGCCTGGACCACTGGCCTCAGGTGAGCCAGGCATCTTGGTGAATCCCAACTTTAAAGCCAGGATCTCTCTAGAGCCTGGACTGGCTTAGTGACCTCAGCCAACAGTGGACTTTAAGATTCATAATAGAAAATATGGCCAAAAGAGCTTTGGCCCTATTTCTCCTTTAAAGTGTTTGTTACCCCAACATATCATATTCCTGATGTGTGCCTGTTGTACTATGTACTTGTTTTAAAAAGAATCCTATTCTGTTTGCGTTTCTTCCTTTGTGTGTGTGAAATACTTGGTGATCTAGCTAGTTCCCCTCTTTCCTATTGCAAATTGGCCACGTTAGGCATGAGAGCACATCCATCCCAGTGTGGTCAGTATTCTGGCTGTGCTGGGAGTACAACCTGCCTTTCCTCCACATGCTCCCCTGTACAGATCTTTACTGGTAGGCTCAGTGTATTGGTGTTTCTCTGCCTCTTGCTGACATACATTCTCTGCCTCTTGCAGCTAAGAACTGAGGTTATTTGCAAAAAAAAAAAAAGTATTTCTTATATATATATACACACACACAGCGGCTAAAATAAGTATTGAACACGTCACCATTTTTCTCAGTAAATATATTTCTAAAATTGCTATGAAATTCTCACCACACGTCCGTAACAACCCATGCAATTCATACATACAAAGAAACCAACACAAATAAGTTCAGAAATTAAGTTATGTGTAATAAAATGGAAATACACAGGGAAAAAGTATTGAACACATGAAGAACAGAATAAGGCATGGAAAGCCAGCTAAAATCTATCAGTATTTAGAAAGCAATCCTACCCCTTGTCAGTGCAAATTAATATCAGCTGGTTCAGTCTCCACTGATGGCCTATAAAAAGGTGTCTCATTACCAAGGTGTCACACAAAAAGCAAAGAGCTCTCTCAAGTCCTTTGCAGCCTTATTGTTGCAAGTGACTAGTTTCTCCATACAGGAGGTGTCTTGAAGCTGTCATTACCAACAAAGGATTTTATGCAAAGTATTAAATAAATTTCAGTTAATGTGTTCAATACTTTTTCCCTGTGTAATTCCATTTTATTTAATATAACTTAATGTCTGGGCTTATTTGTTTTGGTTTCTTTGTATGTAAGGAATGCATTGGTTGTTACCGACATTTTGTGTCAATAGCACCTTTAGAAATATGTTTACTGAGAAAAATGGTGGCATGTTCAATACTTTTTATACCTGCTGTATATTCAAATTTGAAATGAAAGGTTTGCCTTTCATTTCTATTTTAAACTAAATGGGTTGCTTTAACAGGTAAGGGCTCACATATACTTTAATGTCCCCAGTCTGTATACCTGCAATGGCCATTTTAAACATTTTCCACTGGTGATTTTTCAAAAATGTATTTTATGTTAAAGAAAATGCAACAGGAGTTGCTGGAATACTCAAGGGTGGGCAGTAATACAAAAAACTCCCAGGTGAAGAGGAACAGATTTGAGAATTATGCATAGGAGTTCTTACTGTTGCAGTGCCCTCACCTACACTGCTCCAGTGAGGAGGAATCGCCACCAAGGTTTCTTCTAAAAATAACACTTTTATGAGCGTTAGTCTCCTGCACCCCCTTCTATCCTCAGTGATTCATCCCACAGACCCCTACATCACTGCTCAGTCCTGTATTGATAAAAAGGTTGTTGGGAGGAATTGGAAGTACCAAGTTCAGAAGTCAATTCAGGTGGCAATTCCTCATCCCTGGAGGTGGCAACTTCTCTTCCCTGGAACAGTGCAATAGAGCTTCTTGAATTAGGGATGACTGCAAATGATCATAAACATCAGGTTCCTTCACACCATGTACTTCAGGGGTCCTCAAACTTTTTAAACGGGGCCAGTTCACTGTCCCTCAGATTGTTGGAGGGCCGGACTATAGTTTAAAAAAAAAAAAAAAACTATGAACAAATGCGGACACAGTACAGGAGATGACCAGAGACTGTGGACATACAACGGCGGCGGGAATATTGGGCCGGCCGCTCCATAAGACGCACAGACATTTTCCCCCCAAGTGTGTCTTATGGAGCGAAATAGTGCCCCATCATTGGTGTCAGTGGGAGGAATAGTGCCCCATCGTTGGTGTCAGTGGGGGAAGGAATAGTGCCTCATCACTGGTGTCAGTGGGAGGAATAGTGCCCTATCATTGGTGTCAGTGGGAGGAAACATGCCCCATCATTAGTATCAGTGACACCAATGATGGGGCACTATTCCTCCCACTGACACCAATGACACTTAACTTGCTGACCCCTGTTCCAGCATGGTGCTGCTGCATCCAGCACACCTGGTTGCAGCAGCACCATCAGCACGGCACACTTACCTGTCAGCTGTCCTTCTTCACTCCGGCCTCTCCCTCACTCGATGTTCGCTGGGCCGCTCGGCTCCGCCTCCTCGCAGGTGATTGGCCGCCTGTGTGCCTTTCCTGAGCTACAGTTCTGGCGCCCAATCACCGGTGAGGAGGCGGAGCCGAGTGGCGGGAGTGGCAGGAGTGAATGAAGGAGCAGCGCTTCCTGGACTGGATTGTCCTGGGACTGGAGCCAGGTAAGGTACAGCAGCCCCCTGCCCGCCCCTGTACTTAGTGTCCCTTCCTCGCGGAAAATACGCCCCTGCCGGTGGCCCGGATAAATGGCCTCGCCGGGCCGCATGTGGTCCACGGGCCGTAGTTTGCGGACCCCTGATGTACTTCATACGTGCCTTGGCCACTTGGTGACTGTGGTTGGTGACTCCACACTTGATTTCCTGGCAATAACCATAACCTTAAATATCAGTTTTGGATATAATAATCCTTTAAACAAATTTTCACCAGAAAACACCTGTGCTATGCCAGTAATATAAATATTAAAGTTATACCTCTTCCACTCCTGTTACAGAATAAGCATGGCCTTTAACCAGTCCACTGGCCATGCGGGTCTCAAACTGTGCCGGTACAATAGCCTGAAACAACAGAGACAATGGTTAGCCAGCCACACTCACAATAACCCAATCTTCTGCTATGTTAGTCAGTTAAAGGAACATGACATCTTGCTTGGCAGCGTAGATCAAGGTAATTAAACCAAATGTACTGAAGCCCTAGGGGCTGATGTCTGAGATTTGTAATAAATAATTCCAGACAAGGCCAGCTACTGTCAGTTCTTGAAAACCACACATTGCACAAGACAAACAATGCAAACACATTGTTCTGCATTATTTAGAGTCAATCAGTAGTTATGTCTGAGCAGAATTAAAAGCAACAAGCAAATTATCTAATTTTTCCATGAAAATATAAGAGATACTGCTGATCAATGTCAGCTACCTAAATGAAACATAAAAGCATATACAGTATACTGTGAAGCAGCATAAATACCTGAAGGTTTATAAAGAACACGTACAGTAAACTCAACATGCGCTTTTCCAAAGTAAGAATATCTAACATTCACTTTTAAATGAAAACAAACATGACATGATTAAGAAAAGAATTGTTACATAATGCATCCTTTTGGTAACAGAAACAGAGAATGCATCGAAGTCTAAAATCACCACATACTGCAAGAGACAGTTTCATTTGCACTTCAATAGGTAAAAGAAAGTACTAGACAATATTCCATAATCAAAAACAAGTCCAAAGCAACATTCACGGTACACATTTCAGCGACATGCTTTTCTTCTTAAAATTCTTGATGTCATCTACTGTTTTTGAATGTTTGGAAAGAATCACTGTCTCTAAATCACCCCTTCAAGAGCTGATAGTTGCTCAGAGAATATATAAGAATTCATAATTCTGCCGATTGGCATTATGGTTGAGCCCAACACATGTTACTTTTTACTGGACAGCTGGTATTCCTGATACCCTTCTTATATCATTCAGTTGTTCTCCTGGTAGTTGTGTGGGCTGTCTGGGAGAGCTATGAAGAAGATTATGCGTTACAGAATCCATACCCCCCCTGGTTACACTGATCTGACTTTGAAATTGTGTGACTTCCAGTGAAGTCGCATGATTTCAAAGTTGGATGTTATTCCGACTAGAGGTGCGACTTGCATGCCATCTTCCCAGATGTCTATGTAAGTCGCACATGAAGTAGTGCATTCACTACCTTAGAAATCGGTGCGGCTCTGACCAAATCGGAATCGCACCGATAGGACCACTTTAATTGCGGACAATAGGGTGCGACTTGCCATGCGATTTACCACTTGCACGGCATGGCAAGTTGCACCTGGTGTGACGGGGGTGCTAAAAAGTATGTAAACCCAGCATTTCATATTCCTGATCTGTGCCTGCTGTACCATGCACTTGAATGAAAAATATTTTAAAAAATCCTGTTCTCTTTGTAGTGCTTCATTTGCGTGAAATCTTTGGTGTTCCAGCTAGTCCCTCTGCTTTCATATTAAAACTGACCACACTAGGTATGAGAACACAGTGTGGTCAGTTCTCTAGCTGTGCTGGGAACTCAGTGTGCTCTTCTCCAATGATCATACTTTCACTGAGATGATCTTCTGTTCCTCCTCCCCCAGCTCTCTGAGCTCCTTATGCAGCAGAGAACAGAGGGAATTTGATCACTTATTAAAAAAAGGGGAAAAAAGGTGTGTATAATGTTTTTTTTTTTTATATCTATACACCAATGATTTCCCTTTCATTTATATTTTATACTGAATGGATTGTTTTACAAGGTGAGGGTTTACAATCACTTTTATGACAGTATCAGAAATATGTACTGGAATGCACACAGAGTACTCTCTTCAAACATTCATGTGTACAAGATCTTTCAAGGTTGACACTGCTGATTACGTGAAGCGGGGAATATTTGAAGAGTCTTTCAGGTGTGGGTAATGTTGAAGTATAATAATCCATTAATGTAAGCTAATAAGTGTTCTAAATTTAGAAGGCCTAGAAAATGGAATCCAGTTAAACTTTTTTGTGTTAGTTTTGAAAACATAAGAAAATGAGGGAGGATACAGGGACATAGTAGCAACAAAACCCCTGGCAGAGTGTGGTATGTGTTTACAATATTGTCTTTTCCCCTCTGGAGAAATTCCCCCTCACTTCCTTTCCTGGTAATCCCATATTAAATGAACCACGAGGGCACTGCGGTGCACAGAGTGACACCTTTCTGCATATTTTTTGGCAATGTCCTAAACTCCAGCAGTTTTGGAGGGGAGTAAGTGACATAAAGTAACACACTGCTGTGGTCCTGCAGGACGACCTTGTTGTATCTGTTATGAAGACTTAATAAGAAATACAAGGCCTCTTACTATCCAACTGCTGAATGCAGCGAAGGCCCATATCCCACTCCACTGGAAGGAAGTTGCTCCTCTTTTCAGGGTAAATGATCTCAGGGACATGAAGTACCTTACAGCCCTTTGTGTAACACAGAAGAAACCTTCCAGGACACCTGAAGATCTTGGCAATGTTTTGTCTACACGGACACTTACCTGAAGGAACTTACACCTGAGTGTGTTAACCTTTTAGGCTTTCTCTCTGTACTCGGGAGAGGGTACTTATCACGCCTCTAGGCTTTTGTACTTCCTCCCATTGCCTTCCTTACCCTACTCCTTTCTCCTGCCCCCCTTCTTTTAAATTAATTTATTACCACAGTCCATTCTCCAACGTCACATTTCAATTACTCTTCAGATTTGTATTTCTGGTTAATCGCTTCCTGGCTGCCCTATAGCAGATATACTGCTACAGGGCGGCACGGGTGTACAAAATCACGTATATATACGTGATTTTGTATTTCCGGGTAGGGGGTGCGCACCCTACCTGTGCCGCCATTCGCGGCTTAGGCTGTCAATCACTGGGTCCCGGCTGGTGATTACTCGCTGGCACCTGGTGATTCATGAGCATCTCTGACACAGAGGAGAACTGTATGTCAGCTCTTGCACACTGTCCCTGCCAACTCGTGCACACTGCCTTGGATGGCTGTGCACAGCACAGCCATCCAAAGCAGTGCGCTTACAGTGAAGCACACAGACACAGCACAGAGTAAACCTGCACACAGTTAACCCTTTGATTGCCTCACATGTTGCCCCTTCCTGCCCAGTGCCATTAGTACAGTCTCAGTGCTTTCTTTTTTTTAGCACTGGTCAATGTATTGGTGTCACTGGGGATGTCAGTGACACCAAGTCAATTCCCCCCAGTGTCAGAATGCCCACTGCAGTGAAAAATTTAAAAAAATAAAAAAAATCCCAGTATATATTTCGCCGTTTGTAAACACTATAACTTTCATGTAAACCAATTACTTTACATGTATTGGGATTTTTATTTAGCAAAGACATGTAGCAGAATACATTTTGGCCTAAATTTATGATGGAATTTGATTTTTTAAAACTTTTTACTGGACATGTTTAATAGCAAAAAGTAAAAAATATTGTTCTTTTTCTCAAAATTGTTGGCTTTTTTTATAGTGCAAAAAATAAAAAATGCACAGGTGATCAAATACCACCAAAAGAAAGCTCACTTCGTGGGGAAAAAAGGACGTAAATTTCATTTGGGTGCAGCGTTGTATGACTGCGCAATTGTCAGTTAAAGTAACGCAGCGCTGTAACACAAATATGGTCTGGTCAGGAAGGGGGGTAAATCCTCAGGAGGGCAAGTGGTTAAATAGATGGTAATGCCTCTCTATCTGTTTTTCATCTCTCAGTGGTCTGAACAGTCACAGCCTATTTTAGTGTTTGCCCTAACGTTCTATGCTGCTAGATAACCTTTTTTTTATTGTACCCTGCATTGTTGTTTACACGCCTCTGCTCATTTTACCTCTTATGGACAACATTTTGCTTTTGTTTTACCTTATTGGACGTGTACCTTACTGATTTATGGCAGTCCTGGTAACACCATTTCACTGCAATTGTACTATTTAACTATGACATCTGGAGAACTGCTTACCTCTGTAACCTGTTTGCCTTATCTGTGCACAATCAATGCATTAATAAAGGAATTTAAAAAAATAAATCAATAACCAAAAGGAGGACATCTACAATGAGGACAAAGATAGCAACATAAAATAGATGAAAGTTCTATCCCCTTCCCATTCTTAAAAAAAATAAAAATAAATATTTTGGTTGAAATGTCAGTTTAAAATGATTTAGCCACTATGAATTCAACACTAGACACCTTTGTTAGATGAAACCCACTTAAAGCATTACAAACAGTTCTAAAGTCATGCTTCCAAACCTTGCCCCTTATACACTAAATGTATGAAGGCCTTGCTTGGCCCTTGGGACCTTACATAATAATGAACTACCTTTTTATGTTTTATGAACACACAAAATTAAGTTTATATTGGGCTCAATAGAACCTTTGGGCCTTTTAATGGTTGTAATATTTTGCCATGGCACTTTCAGATGAGGTTGAAAAAAACAGTAAGCATTAAGCTACTTATATGGTACAGATAACTGAATGAGCCTCAAGAATTCCTGTCCATTGACATAGCTGCTATGTATTTTGCCTGATATAGATCATTACATTATTACATGCTGTATTGTCAGATCTATAAAGCCACCATACCATGCATGGGGTATACAAACCACAGGTGGTTTTGGGTCCAAGCCTTTTCCATCTAAATCAGGCTGCTTGTCACCCTCACTTTGTATCATTCGTTTTAATGCTTGCCCCATATCAGGAGGTGACATACCATAGGAAAACGCATTCACTTCCTGGCATCAGCAACAGAGAGCACATAGGTTAAGACAAGCTACAACAAACTATGTATACAAGACAAGAGTCAAATAAACACATATTTGCAGTATTTTATATTTGCCTCATTACAGAGAAAGAGAGCTCAAATAAATATATATTACAGTATTAAATAGATCCCCTTAAAGTAAACATGTGCTTTGCCCATGTAGGAGAAAGCAACAGTTTTGAATGAATGCCCACCTCCCTAGTAGCATGTACTCACCTTTCCTTAGCTTCCCTACCGCTCAGTTCAGCCATTGGGAGAGAAGAAATGCTCTGTATTTCT